AAAATTATGCCATCAATTTACTTAGGATAATGAGGTCGTTTCCATGTTTTTCCTCAGAACAATAGTACATCCAAACTTTAGTAATAGGACCACTTGCATCCTGTTTTACAAACCTTCAAAAGACTTGGCCATTAGTGTGTGATTTATTGTAAAAATATAAATTATATTTTTATTTTAATTAATGAATGTTCCTGTTTCTTTTCATAGCATATGAGGAAACTACATTTTCTGAATATTTAAAAACTCAAAACTAACTGGAACCTTCAATATTTGTGTCCTGCATTCAGTTGCAATGACATCAGAGACTACAAGCAGTACTGTAGATGGTCTCAAAGCTACCAAAAACTTTCTTCACTGTCTTAAGCGGTATGGCACCACACTTATTTCTGTTTCCTTTATATGGCCAAGGAGAACTGCCACAGTGTTTTTGCAGGTGAGTTTGACTTATGGTTTCTAAAAGAGTTGTTTGAATGACATGACAATTAGACAAAGGTGAGCATTGTGGTGCATCCCCGTATTCCTAGCATGTGGGAGGTGAAGAGTTGAGTTAGGAGTTTAATGCCTCTCTTGGCTACATAGGACATTGAGGCCTGGATGAGGTATAAAAGCTCCCACCTTAAACTAATTTAATAAGAGAGAGTATATGTAAATATAATACATTCTATCCTAATAGGCAGTTTAATGTTTATTGGTTCCATCTAAATGATTGATTCAGTTTAGCCTCCTTTTTGAACTTATATTGTCATCCAACATTATGTTTCTGTGTTATCATATATATGCACATTTTTTTATTTTATATTTATAATATGTTTATATTTTTCTTATATATTCTATTATATTAATATAATTCTCACTGTTAGATAAGTCAATTGTGAATTACCATGAACTACTTTTTCCATTTTTCTCGCTGATATTTTCTATTAATGTCCTTCTGTATGTGTTTTAGTTAGGGTTTCTGTTGCTATGATGGAAACACCCTGACTAAAGCAACTTGAGGAGGAAAGGTTTTATTGGTTTAAACTTCCAGTTGGTCTTACTAATAAAACTTGCAGCCAGATATAGGGGCAAATGCTGGAAGACCAAAGAGAGAAAACAGGAAGCCACAACCAACTCTTACCTTGGTAACTCCTCAACTGAAAAGAGTTCTGTTCCCTCCTGCCTTATATTTCTATCTCCACCCAGCCTTATCACTTCCTCTCTGTCTGTACAGACCTCCAGACCTCTGTGGTTAATTAATGGCTAGCTCCACCCTCTGATCTTCAGGAAAGCTTTATTTGATAGAATATAAACAACACATCACCACACCCTTTTATGCCTAAAAAGTAGGGAAAAAAAAGGTGTTAACTAATATAAGAAAAACTGTGTACAATAACTATATACCGGATATATATATATGATATTTATTGCATATATATATGCAATAAATACATCAACAATTGTTTAGTCCATTAAAAGTTGACAAATTCAGAGAAAATACTCCATATCTCCATATCTATCCTATCTTTGTGAGTCCAAAAGATTGTACCTAATTCACTTTCTGTTCTAACTTGAGTTACCAAAACTATCTTTTTATGTCTCTCACCCTTATACACTTTGTACCCCTTCAGTGAACTTCTTTTCTGAATCTGGTAACAAGGGAAATTGTAACTATAGCTATAAAGTCTTCAACTCCATCAGAGACCCAAGAAGGAAATAATTTTCTGAATAAGCAGGAAATGTAAGCAAGGGATTTCCAAAAAAAATGTGAGAAATGACACAAACTGCTGGGTGCCTGGACAGTAATCCAAGGTTCTTTTGCACATGTGGGGCATCCATCTTCAACCTACAGGCCTAGCATATCTGACAGACTTTTTCTGTGCAATAGCATATGCTGAAGGGCTGTCTTACCTTGTCAAAATTCAGCAGTACTTTCTTTTGTGTCCTGCTTGTCCAATTTGGACACATACTGTCAGCAGTCAAGGCAAAGGCATTTTCTTGCCCAGTGGCTAACTTTTGCCACAAAGAAAGGAAACTCAATGTGTAGTTTTTTTTTGTTTTGTTTTTCCCTTTCTTTCTTTTTTTTTTTTTTTTTTTTTGATGCCCATCATGTCTGAAGTAGATTGGTGTTGCCAGGAGCAGACATGAGACAGATTTTGGATTTTACTTTAACAAACATGCTTGGGTTTAAAGAAGGAAAGAGCCACATTCCAACCTGGAGCCAGCTTTAATTTTTAATTGAACTGGGAATACAAAAAGACCATTTCCATTTTATGACTATAGAAAAAAAAAGCAGAATTAAACATTTGGGAAGATTTTTATGAAATAGTATCCTGCTGGAGATGTAGTATGGTAATAGGCTAATTCACTCTTTATTGGGACTTTTTTTTTTCTGGATGATTTGTTCTTTCTCTTCTCTTCAGATGTCTCATTTGTCCTGTGATTCTTAAGATTCCTTAGCTAGATGAACTCATTCTCCTGAAAAGACAAAAGGAAACCCTTCCCCAATCCTCATTGTACACCATAAAAGGAATTCAGGACAGGATCCCAAATAGGGCAGGAACCTGAGGCAGGGAGCTCATGCAGAGGCCATGGAGGGGGTGCTGCTTACTGGCTTCCTTCCCATGGCTTATTCATCGTACTTTATTACAGAGCCCAGGACCACCAGGCCAGTGATGGTATGATCCACAATTGATCATTAATTACAAAAAGGTTTGCAGATGGAGCATATTGTAGCATTTTTTCAATTGAGGCTCCTTCCTTTCCTAATAAACTCTATAGTTTGTGTGTCAAGTTGAGATAAGTCTAGCTAGCAGGTATTTCTTGTGATATATGTGCTCAAGACTTTCTATAGGAGCTGGAAAGATAGGTCAGTAGTTATAGAGTGCTTGCTTTGCAAGAATTAGGATCTGAGTTCATATCATTAGAACCCTCATAAAAAGCTAGTTGTACTCATGTGTGTGCCTGTAACTCTAGGGCTCTGGGGAAGGTATCTGAGACTAGAGGATCTCTAGGGCTTCTGCCACCTAGCTCCAGTGTAGTGAGAAACCCTGTCTTAATTTTTCTATTGCTGTGACAAAACATCATAACTTACGGAAAGAAGGATTTATTTGGGCTGACATTTCCAGAGGAAATGGAGTCCTATCATGGTAGGGAGCCAGAGCAACATGTATGGTGGCAGGAGCAGGAAGCAGAATGAACTTGATGTGTGATGAGACTAAACCTCGAAGTCCACTTGTATTAATATACTTCCCCAGCAAGGCCACACCAACTAAACCTTCCCAAACAACTCCAACAACTATTAGTCTTATTTAAACTACTACACCTTCTGTTGCAAGGGAATAAGGTTAAGTATGATAGAGTAGGACACCTATGTATGCACAGGTACATGTAAGGAGTTCCTTCAGGTTGCATACCTAATAATGAATTTTTAAATAATTTAATGTGTATGAGTGCTTTTCCTGCATGTGTATATGTATATCATGTGTATATCTGTGTCCTTGGAGATCATAAGAGAGTGTAGGATCTACTGAAACTGAAGTTACAGATGGCTGGCATATATTGCCATGTGGTAGCTGAGAATCAAACATGGGTCCTCTGCAAGAATAGCCAGTGCTCTTAACCAGTGATTCATCTCCAGCCAAGAATGGATTACTTTTAGCCATAGTATGTGTGTTTTACATTTCATTGTCAAAATATTGTTATTTCTTTTGTGATTAAGTGTTTTATTAGTTGCACCCTGAGAACAGAATGTAGGAATTTCTGTTCGCTTTATATATTTCCCTACACTTAAACAGTTTGGTGAGTCTTTACTCATTGTGTCTCAATTCTTGAGTTTTCCTAATTTCCCTGTGAGTTTGAACCTCTTGTTTGTTGGCTGCCCATGATTTCCAGTCTGAGGGAATATTTACTCCTCTTTTGCCCATTTGTCCTTTTAGGTTGTTGCCCTTTTCTTAATGTTGTTACAGGTTTCTTAAGTGTATTCTGATTATAGATCACAGGCAAAATTTTGTGTATTTTTGTCTGTGTTTATGTGCTACAAGAAGATTGTTATGATTAATATAGTTGGATTCAGGAAGCTTTTCATTTCTGTTTAGCTTTTTGACTGGTAATATAGCGTAGTAGTGAAGACTATGAACTTTGTCAATAGATTGCTTCTGTTTTAAGTTGGCATGTCTGTGTTCACTACCATTGTAACTATGGATAAGTTTTAGAGCTGTATTGGATTTCTAAGTATTAAGTTTGGTGTTTAAGTTGTCTCTGGTAATGCTTTGTTTATTTCTGTTCTTTCCTGCATATGTGATCTTGCTTGTTGGAGACTTAATTTAGCTTTTCTGTATTCTTCCTGGCCTTTCCCAGTTATTAGGCTGGAATTTGAAACTTATTTAATGGGCTAGTTAGTGGGGCTAACCCTGTCTTTGAAATTAGATCTACTAATCCCCAAGTCGAAATCCTGGTAGTGATTAACGCGTATTTTCTGTGTATTGCTTGTGACAAAAATATGTAAGAAAAGATCATGTTTATTTTAAACTGCAACACACAATTTCTTGGAGAGCAAACTGCTTTTTAGATGTTTGATACCACTCAAAATCTTTAAATGGATACATGGGACATTTGAGGTTACTGATTATAACATGAAATAGCTATGAAATGATCATAGCAATACAATGTGTTGCTTACTTTGCTCTTCACTGTGAATGGTACCATGTAAAGTTTCTGTGTCTAGGTGTAAAGTTTTGGTTAATATTAACTTTACATAATACTGTGGGTTTTCAACGTCTACAATGTACATTTGTTATTATCTTGTCATAGTAAATAATAAAATGTAGTATTATACATTTTATGTTTTGAAAAGTCAACTATATTAGTCTCTTTGTATGTGTGGAAAATATCTCATCATGTAGCTCACGCTGGCTACAAACTCACCATTCTCCCTCCTTCAGCTTCTGAAGCATGTCCCACCACACTCAGTTAACAGTTTTATCTACTTTGAAATTATGAAAATATGTATGAGTTGTTTTATATATTACTGGTTTTCATGTATTTTATTTCCAATTCTAATTTTTTATTTCTATTAAGATTCCTTCATTGAACTAACAGTTATTATGAGGTATTTAAGAATAACTAACTTGGACCGTTTTGCTCTCAATCTTAAATTTAATTGTTATGAAGATAGAAATATTTGGGGGCTATTGATGCTTTAAGCTTTGTGACCTAGTATAGTCATCAAGTTTTTTAATTTATCTGTAGTTGCTAAAAAAACATTTAGATGGTTGAAAGTTACAGAACTCTCTGAGATTTGTTTTCAGACTTCAGTAAATCAAACCTAAGTTATTATTTTCAAACTATTTGTATTGAATTTTATTCCTGTTGGTCTATCAATATTAAAGATGTGTTTGAAAATCCCTATCGTGATACTGGATTTGTCAGTTTTTCCCTGTAATTTTTTTTAGCTTA